CAAAGTCTCTTCGATATATGAAGATTTCAAAAAAATGCATGTTGTATATACCCAACATGAAAAGGAGTCGAGATCTTCAGATCTCTAAGAGATTTTGTTCAAAACTTCTGAATTTTTCTATAGAAGGTAGTCTAGTTGAGTTCTCTATATGTACGACGTTTCAGATCAAAATTCGAAAACATGAGACCTCTAGAAAAAAAATCCACGATTCAGTCAAATCCTTGGAGCGTCTTTATTAGAACACTATGTAGTATCTTTAGGCAAAAAAAATCATTAAAATTGGTAGGAGGTAACTGAAGAGGATCTTTTGTAAACTTTTGAGTAATATTTTGACATTTTCTATGGAAATAATTGCAATAGACTATTTGTAGTTCATATTAGAGCTGCTAGGTGAAAGTTGTTGGCATGGCTCTTATGTTTTGGAAATCAAATATTGATGCATCCCATTTTTATTCGAGAGTGCTTTGACAAATTTATTCGATTTCAGCAAAAAATGCTTGAATCGAACGTCATTTTCGTTTTATAGACCTTACAGAAATTCATTGTCAAATGTAAACATCCTTGATTATTATTATAAGTATGACTTATTCCCTACATTTTCTTTCACTTCTTCGTTGTATGCCTAATCAAATGTTGTTTTTACTATAATGATTATATTTTTTTGATTATGGAAAATAGAAATGATATAATCAAAAACATGGTAATAATTCAAATCTTTCTTGCATGAAAAGCATTTATAATGTTTGTTTCTTAGTTTTAATTTGCTATTTGAGGCAACTTGCCCATATGAATTTTGAATGTGAACATGCCCCTATCCTTGGTAAAAAAAATGAGCTCGTTTGGTCGAGCTATAATGGAGATATTGAATTTTTAGTGGGTCTGTTTCATGACTTACTGGACACCCTATAGTTTTTATCAGGTTGTTAATTCTTGTAATAGACAAGTAACGCGACGCAAGCGTCGCTAACCCTCTACTGAAAGGATGTGATTTCCTTGAACATATGGTACTCACGAAGAAGAAGATTACAGAACTAATGTGCTGCTATGCATCTATAAAAAGATAAATAGTTCTCGTCACCATGACCCGCTTGCTAATTGATTGGATTTGATTTAACCATCGTGGGGTGTGGATGTGTGTGGGTGTGGGGCGTGTGTGTGTGGGGTGTGGGGTGGGGGTATGGGGTGTGAGCGTGTGTCTTCACTTCATCCATACTCAGACACACCCCACGATGGTTAAGTCAAACCCAATCAATTAGCAAGCGAGCTATGGTGACGAGAACTATTTATCTTTTTATAGATGCATAGCAGCACATTAGTTTTGTGATCTTCTTCTCCATGAGTACCATATGTTCAAGGAAATCACATCCTTTCAGTAGAGGATTAGCGACGTTTGCGTCGCGTTACTTGTCATTAGTGGTGTGCAAAAGGACACGCACGAAGACATTCAGTTTCTTATCAACCTCCGTCATCGCATCAAATACCTCGAAATTGAAATCGAAGAAAATACAGTCAAATATATCGAGCAAATTATATTGTTAAAGAACACCAATAGCAATTCTCGTCCATTCTCATTGCTAAGTTGAAACATTAATCAAGGAATGATCGAAAAATTCTGAAAAATGATTGGCATAATGAGAACACAGTACAAAATGACGGCATCAGCGAATATGAATGCTTTTATTTGAACTGTACATTGATGATTGTTCGCATGTTCTATTCAATTGTAATAGTAGTTATCTCCTCGAACATCAAACAAATCTGAAACTTGTCAAAACTCATGTATCGTCTTAGCTGTATGGATGGGCTGAATAATCTTGGTTCAAACAAAAATGGCGTTGCAATATATATTTTGAGGTACCTGTGTCACAATCGCTTAGACTTGCTCATAATCAATTAGTCACCTATGAAATACAAATGTTTGTACTTTCACACATAAGATGATCATGTGTTTTGTTCAACTTAAGTTTCCACGAGATCACGTTCTACATTCCAAATTTGATTCAGAACGGCATATCACGCAGCTTTCTGATGGAAAAATTGCACAGAAGTGTTAAATTTCTTATTGATATTTTCTTGCAACTTTTCACTGCCTCATCATCTAGCATTTGGTACAAAGATTAGAGGAGACTGCCACTTGTGAAATAAATATTATACTGAAGCAAAGCACAGACACAACAGAAATCGCATTCAAGAAATAGACTTAAAAAAGAATCGACAATTTTCAATTTATGATAACAAATCTACAAGTTAGTTGTTATTCAAATTGATTCCTTCCCTTGCTGTCACACGAAATAATCGCACACCTTGTCCGAATACATGGCTGTCATCGGAGTAGGAAAGACAGAAAGGTGATTGTTTCAGTGATGCATATTTCTCGTCATCACCATTTAGACCATCGGCAATCATAGTTAAAGCCGCTTCAATAATCGATACAGAAACTGGACTAGACTTCAGTTGTGCCCGTTTGAAGCCTTCAGCCATGAAAACTATTTCCGGCACTCCAATTTTCAAATAACGGAGCACGTTTTCGTTGAGATGCTTCTCCAAGCTTACTAGTACAATCTTAAGAATTTCGTCGTTCACTTCGGTTTCTGTTTGTTTGTCAGGTGCACGAGGAAGTTCAGAATTGCCGTTGTGAATTTCAAACATTGTTCGACGCAGAAATTCACTGGAACTTTCTCTCGGATTCTGTTCTATTTTGGTTACTGCGAATAACGGTTCGTCATCGTGGGCTCGTTTCCTACGAGAGAAATGAAGATAGAATATGTTAAACTTTAACTTATCAAGACTTTTCATTCTATCGAACTTGAACGTAGAAACGAGAGAAACGATTCGATATTCATAGAAACAACTGACTCACTAAAAAAAGAGTTCAAGTTCAAGTGAATAATCTTACTTAAAATAAAGTAGACCACACTTGTAACATTTTTAATGGATATACTTTCAAAAAAATATCAACAGAATCTACACCAAGTAGAACATTTTTTTTCGGAAACTAGCTTCAAAAAAATACTTCAAAAAAATTTAAAAACTTAGAAGGTCTATTCTCTGGACAGTTGCAGAAAAGTCTACACCATTTCTCTAATATAATTCTGCTATGCTCTCTTCGATTGAAGAAAAACAATCGCAAATTAATCGACAATAGCTATAAAACACTTTCTCATGAATATTGGAAAACGTTTGAAGAAGATTTCTTACTTGGTCAAATCGAGATCCGCCTCAAGCCTACGAATTTCTTCTTGATCCAGATCATTTCTAAGACGTGCTATTTCAATTGCTTTCGCCACGCATTGGACTGCTTTTCTCCACTCATTACTAGCCTTGTACGCAAGTGACAATTGTAAATAAGTAGCACTGAGCATTTCGTAATCGGTAGGAGTATACTTTAGCCTAATGGCTAAAGTAGTATGAATTACATCGACTGCATCCTGAATGTTACCAATTGCCAATAAACACATTCCCAGCAAGGAGTGCATTTCAGCAAAGATAAAATGATCCTGCTGGCTCATCAATAGAATTTGCAAGTCTTGTATCGCTTTTATTTCCAATAGGGAAGCAGCCTGAAAATCACCTTCGTGTAGCTGCTGTATAGCGATTAAATGAAATGTAAAGGCATTGATAAGTGGACGTGGTGGTAAGTTGATGATTTCCTGTCGGCAATGCGATGGTATTTGTGACAGAATTCTTTCGAGCTGAGCTGCTTCAAGCGGCGTAAGCGATGATGGATTTTCAATGGAAGAATATGAAATAACATCGTTTGGAGAACCCTGGCAGCAACCCATTTTGAAGTAGTTAGTAATAATATTATTTTTTCTTTTTCTCAACGATTAATATGGATTCACTTGCCTGTTGTCCTCGTGATATGGATGTCTTATCTTTCTCAAGTAGATAAGAATGTGCGTCACTTACCGAATGCAATTCTCTTCTAGTAGAGTAAGCTACTGTTGACGGAACTTTGATATTAAGTCGATCTTTACCCCTGAGCGAAGAGTATGAAAGTTATTCGACACAATATCCATGTGAACATGCAGAAATATCTACTTTGATTGCCAACACATTTATATGAGAGACTGATCAGCAAGGTTTGTTTAAAAAGCATAGCGAATCCAGATAAGTTTATTTTACTTCAGGACTGAGGGTGTGAATGTGAGTTTGGGGTACAGGTGTGGGTATTGGTCTGTGAGAGAAAAAGGATAAAACGAACACTCCACACCACTTCAAGTTTTGATAATAAATGACGACAATGTTGACATAGTAATTTTACATGAAGACAAGTTTCTTTGTAACAAACTTTATGTATTAATCTCTTGGTATAATAATTTAAATATGTTTTAAGCGAGATTTTTTAATTTGTCTACTTGATCCTTTTGATGATCAGAGTTTATCAATAGAAGTTTAGATTCAAATGGGTTTATTTTTTGCCGATATAAATCTTCATAATGTTGTATTATTCTAATTTATCATTAAGACTTCGATGTTTTAATTCTTGTATGATTTTGTTAGATTTATTTTCATTGTTCATACTTGTTTTATAATTGAGTTTGAATACTTTCGATAAAAAAAAATTGATTCTTACGTTCATATTTATGAATATTTTAATTATTCACTTACAGTAATATATTATCCTAGCAAACAAAATACTATTATTGTCTATTGATTTCATTCTCAATCGTTATATTGTATAATAATATAATTATTTCGATGATTATTGAATTTGTAATTTTATGAATTAAAATCTCTTCAATCTTAAGTATATGAATTAATTAGTATTATGTTAATATATATAAAACAATATTGTAGTTTATATTTGAACCAAGACAATCGTAAATTTACCAGTTTAAAATTTGAATAATGGCATTATGAATATTGTGTTTTCTTGTTATTTTAAAATATATTAGTAGCTAAGCCTTTAAAAATAATTCCAAGTAGTTACAGTTATCAAATTATAAAATCAATATTTAAGTTAAACTCCTTTCCCTAAAAAAATCGATCTTTGGTCAGGTACATTTAAATCGCACGAAATTTTCAGAATATATTGAAGAACCTATGGTTAAATTTGTAGCTCTATATCATGATGTCTTCGGGAATTATTCAACAAACAAAGGCCAAAAGTAGCTTATTTGGCAACTCGAAATTCTCTGTGGACTTTCATTGTATATACGTAATATTTTTTGTTCGAAAGATGATGTCAGAATGCAGGGTATGACAGAACTCTTTTTTAAATTTTTTACATTGCCAGGAGAGAAAAATTCAATGGGTCGAAAAATTCTCAAAAAAAGGCACTCGAATTATAAAAGTACTTGTGTATTTAATAGTAACAAAGCTTAATTCACAAAAGAGATTCTGTCATGTCTAGCATCTTGACATGATCTTTCAAACAAAAGAAAAAGAAATTGGCTACAATAAGACTCCTTCCAGAATTCTGGGACATACGATCAAAATAGCATAGACCAAGAAAAAGTGAAAAATATTTCCTACTTTTTCCGAAGATAGTCTATATTTCAAGTAGAAGATAACCGATTTTATAAAAAGATTTTGGAAAAAAACGAAGTATCAAATAAAAAAATTCATGCCGTTTGTGAAAGGTCAAATCTCAGGTTATCTTCTCATGTATTTATCTCAATTTCAATTCATTTGACGAAATTGACTTTTCCTTGAGAGAATGGGATCTTAACTCTTTACCCACCGTAGTGGTTCCAGGAGAGTCACTGATAAAAAAAACTTTATAAATAGAATATTAACTGGTCTAATATGCTAATAATATGGTCTGATTTACCAAGTATTCATATCTTTTTCCAAGGCTGTTTGATTGGCCTAAAGATCGCGTGATGGATAAAAGAAATTGAATGACATACTAAGTCTTGATTTTGTTTTTTCTTTAATCACATTATTGAGTGGGCAAAAGCAATATCAATTCCATATTATTGTCGTAATAGAAAAAAAAGGACAGAGTGAACCGATAAAAATTAATATCAAAAGCATAGATGTGTTTTTGACAGATCTTATTTTTTCTTTGAGCCATTTTATAACCTCTGAAGACATTTAATTCATAATAAATATTATTTCAACCTCTCATGTGTTGAGGTTTATAATAGATATATTAATTTTGTTCTTGATTGTCTTCAGTTGTCCAATAATGATTTCATAGTCAATTATATGTCTTAATATATATAATTCATCAAATTATTGTAAAATTTTCGAAATATATTCAACTTACTAATAAGCTTCTTTATTGATTAATATCATGTAGAAATTCTGAAAGATCTCTATTGAGTATAGGTAACGAAAATTTCGAGTTTTCCCATTTTTTCAAAACTATCAACTTCATAGATTCGATATTTCAAAAGTGGCGTAATGAAAAAAAATATTCTTTTTTTTCGATTAATAGCTCATAAATTTCTCTATAAAAAATGTTTTTATCGTTGTCAAATTCTATGCTTCCTTTATTTTCTGCAATCATTCCACAAATGATCATTCAAGTGACCAACGCGGAGTAAAAGGTTAAAACTAATTTTCATAATTCAATTTCGTATAGATTAAAAAAAAAACTTGTTCAATGAAAAATGTGAAATACAACAGAGATATTTTTCGTGTGCTATTAATCAGTATCAGTAACGAATAGAAGATGTTTTCACTGTTGGAAAGAGGAGATGAAGATACATCGAATCGTGTATTATCAAGTTTCCTGATCTGATTTTTTTTGATAAGCTTTTCAATTGACTTTTTTAAGAGTAAATCTGTTTCGGAAGTTGTTTACAGTGAATTTTCAATTATCAAGTATAGATTCAAATTACTAATTGGAGATCTACAAACTGCAAAAATTTTAGATGAATAATATGTACTTTAGTACAGTTTCTAATTCTGTTTTCTAAGAATTTCTGTGACAAAAAAAAACCATTTTTGTCCCTTCCTCTTTTCTTCTTGATAAAAAGGAACATTTTTTTTTTTTGGAGAGTTTGAAAATCGAATAAAAATACTTCAGAAATCAATATTAGAAAAATCGATAATGCATATTCATCTTTTCTTTTCAACGATAAAAATCGCAGTTCTCTATCTTATTTCTATCAGAAGTTATTCAAAAAATACTCAATGCCATTCGTGTAACCGTCACACATGGGAATAAAATAGTTTTTATCAAAATTTTATTATTTTGATATTAGTTGAGGCATGATCAAATAGCATGAAAAAATACAGTATTCTTTTCTCTATCAAACTATATCGAGAAAAAGTTTCTTAAAGCTTATTACATGATATAAAAGTCTCACTCTCACTACTTTTAGACTGACCTAAGTATGAAAAACGAAGAAGTCGAACTGTTTTTGCTATAAAACCATCCATAAGGTAAGTCTATTTCTAAGAATTAAACCTCTTAATTTCACAAATGAGACAAACATTATTCGATACTTATTTCATTTTATTATGAATTTTATTTGCAGTTCTAATAAGTATTTTTTTTTCTTTCGAACAGTAAGATCTTGTCAACTAATATATTTTCAACAATAAATTTTATACTAAATACAAGCTATCAATAGAAATCAAAAGTAGATTATGACAGCCTTTGCTTTGATATTGTATGAATTACATATATTCATATCATTAAAATTATGCAAAATCGTCGATTGCCGGTTAATCGTGAGATTATATTACGATTAATCTACAATTTTTTTTAAATCAATGAATGAGTGACTCTAGTCAATTTTTCATAAAAGAATCCCTTCCAAAAAAACTCCTTGAGGAATCATGATATGGTTGCGTCTGAGTATTTTCTTAGAAGTCTGTCTAGTACGATTAATTATGAATATTGTAAACTTTCATATACAACATCGTTTATTTTTGTATTTTCATCAGCTTCTCATAAGTGAGCGAGATGAATTGTTATTTCCTCCTTGTGGTAAACATAAAAATATAATTATTTTTTTTAATTATGTGCACCGATAATTTTATAAGTGATATTCATTTAACAAAAAAAAATTATTTATGTGGAAAAATCATGTCTAATGATGAAACTGTTGTTTAAATTGATCTAAATAAAAATCATACAATTTATTTCTGAAAAATAATATATTTACCGTCCAAATTTTTCTAATAAAATAAGATGGATCATACAAGAACTGAAATAAACAATTTTGGTCATGTCTTTTTTTTTCTTATTGATTCAAACGAATTAGACAACAAATAAAAAACAAGTTTTTCCTAGAAACATTGGAAAACAAAGAGGCTAAATTCTAAATATCATGATTAGAATTGTTATCATCACAAATATGTAACTTTCACTTTGTAGAATATTATAAAGATTATTCCCTGAGTCTACAGACAAAACTGACCAAAAAAAAATCCCTTATGTATGTTAGAGTTTTTTGACCAATTTTGTCTGTAAAATCAGGAAATAACTCTTCTAATATTCTACAAGATGATAATTACACATCTATGCTAATGGATGACTATTTTCAGGAAAACCTTGTTTCTAAAAATCGAAAAATTAGTTTTTCATCGGTAGTTCGATGTGGTCTATTCAACGACACTAAATAAATTGAAAATAATAATTTGATAAAATTTTGAATTTCTGGCACCGTTACCATACCATAGCAATACTGAAAACATTTTTCAAAGGTAAAACTCATCAAACTTCAGTTTTTCTTGCTTTCAGAAGCGAATAATCTTTATGTAGGTAATTTTTACGTCATTGTTTTTAAAATATCGAGATTAGTCATCAGAATCTTGTTTTTTATTTGATGAATTATTTTTGATGATTATTATTCTTTTCTTTTGTATAACTTAATGAGCAGTTTCTAATTCTTATAATCTACAATTGCTATGCGTTAAACTCTATCTGAAAGTTTTTTAATATTGTCAGCAAATAAAAGTCATCCGTATTATTGATATTAATCTTATTTTATTTGAAGCAGCATGCTAGACTGCAGTGTATGACAGAGTTTTATGTTTTAAAATTATTACTTTTTTTTTTCACAGTAAAAACAAGATGAACAGTTCAATATCTTGAAAGCCTTCAAAAAATGATTATCTATTTATAAAAATGCATTTTAATATAATAATAAAGAAAGCTTAATTCAAAAAATGCGTTTTGTCAGGCACTATAGCTTCACATGGTCTCTTAAACAAATAAAAAATAATTAGCTAGACTGAAGCTTCTTTGAGAAATCTGCGATGCATGAACAGAAAAACATAAAAAAGGAAAACAAAACAAAAAAGATTTGCTACTTTTTCTGGAAAAAAAATCTGTGATAAATAAAAAATCATATTGTTTGTGAACAATCCAACTTTAGTCTATCATCCCATACATCTAACTTAACATGGATATATCAGGTGAAAATGAACTTTTGTTTTTTGTGGACAAAAAGTACATTATAATTCAATTAGTTTACTATTTTATAGTTTTGTCTATCAGGTAGAAACTATCAAATATATTAAACGGAAATTATGTCCTATAATAAAATCTATTGAAGTTTAGATAGCAGTATTAAAATACATGATTTTGCATGTATGTCGAGCAGTTTGATGGAAATTATTATACAGAATGAGGATCTTCAATACCTATGCTTTATTAAAAATAAATTTGATTTCATTTTGGAATTAATTAGTTCTCTATAAGAGAAGTTTGTATCTTTTAAAAATAGAAAAGAAAATATCAAAGAATTTTTTTGTTCAAATGCATGTTGAAAATTTTTTTGTTTTTTTCTTGAATAAACAAAATGTTTTATTTTATTTTATTTTTTTTTGTTGTTGATGAGACACTATTTTAACAACGGTATATTTTTATCACCGCCTACAATAAATATTAGTTATAACAACTTACATTGTTCTTTTTCCCTTTTTATGAAAAAGAAAAACGGAGATTGATTCAGCCGACGGTATTCAAAATTGAATAGGTTTTCTTAGATGAATATGATTTATTATGACAAAAGAATAATTATAGATTCAAAAAATTTTTTCTTTCTCGTTTAATTTAAGATTCAGTGAAATAGATTATCGTAGAATATGAATTATCAAACATTCATATGCATAGTCGTATTATTAATCTTTACAATTAACTCTTCATTAACAATTGGTAAGTCAAAAAAAAAAAAAAAAATTTTTTTTTTTTTGTAAATTTTATATTGATATTTTATTTTATTGAGATCTTGTAGGAAATGATCTACAACAAGTAAAATTTTAAACCAAAAACTTTTGTATTAATTTAATGTCATTTTATAGGTTTTCGATGAGAATAATAACGATATTGAAGATAAATTCGAATGGCGTCGTCTATCTAAATTACCTCAACCTTCACCAAATATCATCATGAATAGAAATAAAATGCGACCGCGTCTTCTTACATATGACTTTTTACTTCATCAATGGATTTTACGTAAAAAGGACAATTAAATTTCTTCTTTTCTTTGTTTTTTTTCTTACATAATTCAATCAAATATTGTTCAGTATGATTTAAAAATTTTTACTCATATTCTTAGCAATTTCAACAAGATTTTTTTAATAATTATAATGAAAATAAGATTGAACTTTGATTGATTAATTTAAAATAAAAAAAAAAGAATCAATCCATGTATCACATTATTAATTTCAAGTCATTTTAGAAGCTTTTCTTCAATTAATAATCATGTCGAGAGCTCTATCTTTCAAATCATTTTTAAATGGCATCACTTTATAGACGACACTCACAAAAATAGGTCATCAAGTATGACTCATCAATCAAATTGATATTTTGTTCATAAGTAGACCTCGCTGAGACTAGTAGAAGCCTATAAGAGTTCATCTTTATGTACTGTCTTTCTAAAGTTATTATAATTTCACTGATATTTTTTATCCGTGACAAAGTATTTGTGGAAAATCTGAATTATGAAATTTCAACCTGAAGTTTTATTCATAGGTAAATCTCATGGACTTTAGAATGTTCTGAAAATTTCAGTTCAAAAGGATATATTGCTCTAGAGATATCAAGTGTTGAAAATACTAGACTTTCCTTGTGATACATACATTTCGAGAAGAATACACTCTTTTGAATTGAAATTTTCAGAGCATTCTAAGGCCCACAAGACCTACCTATGAGTAAAATTTCATAATTCAATTTTTCCGAAAATATTTTGCAGAGATAAAAAAAAACTCAGCAAAGGACGAACCCTTATAGACTTCTACCAGTCTTGTCAAGGCCTACCTATGAGTAAGTCATACTTGGGGGCGTTTCCTCGTAAGTCAATGTTCAAGATTGAACTGCTTTGAAGTATTTTAATCGAAGCTAATTTAACTAAGCTATCAAGTTTTTTTTTTTCGAGAGACACCATGGTTTTCGAAAAACTGCGACCTCTAGAAAAAAATTCGATAGCTTAGTCAAATCTCAATAAGAACTCAAATTCTTTTAAAGTTTTTATTAAAACACTATGTAATATCTATAGGCAAAAAAATCATTGAAATTGGAACGAGACAGCTTAAGAAGCTTCCGCATAAATAGATTTGATATTGTATCACAAGATATACTACATTTTAGTTTAATATCATATATCCGAACACCATTATTGATCGAAACATATAAAATCGGTTCATCTGAGTTTCATTCACTGACCATATCATTGCGTATCAATGGAATTAAAAAATTTTTAAAAATTTCATGAATTTTAAATCCAAAGCACAAAAACAAATATAATTTCTGAGGATGAAAAGAACATAAAAATTTGTGTATTTCAATTTTATTGATTAAAATGAACATGTTAACCAAGTAAATGGAATGAAAATAATTTTTCATTATCAAAATCATGGTCCTAAATTGATGAAAATGTTCATTTTAGTTAATGAATTTTAAATACAACGATTTTTATGCTTGTTTCATCATTTTAATGCAATTTTTTAAAATTCCTGTATGATCTCTTATGGTAAGAAAATTGTGACAATATGAGAATATTCATATTCTATTAGATACTGATGATAAAACTTTACACAATGATAAATCATTTTACATTTTATAACATAGACTCTAGAGAAAGCTTAAAAAAGAATTATTCTCATGGGTTTTTTTCTTCTTGAATTATGACTATTTTAATAAGTTGTTCAACAAAGTGTTCTGCTCGCCTTCAGAATCAACTATCACATTCGAACATTGCATAATGAAAATTCTCAATGGAACTAAAAATATTCGATTTTCTAGTATCTTCTATTCAAAGATATCAATATTTTGAAAAGTTTGCTACGAAGAAAAAAAAACAAACTTTATTTTATGCAACGCGTTTGAATTCGAAATTCAATATTGAAGATAAAATGAATGGAAAAGAACGGCATTACTAAAATCAGTTTCAGGGGTATAATATTGTCCTTAGATTTTCTCTAGTCTTAACCCAGCCGATATAATGGAGTGTAAGAATAATCTCAATAGTGATTTATCATTTGATAAAATTTCTCAATATCAAATTTCATTTCTTTCTTTATTTAGATGCATAACTTTTCTATTCCTAAGAAAAAAGATATTTTAGAAGTTTTTTAGTGTTGAAATTAATGACGCTAGAAAACAAATGAATGAATTTATTTTAATCATTATTAACTAAAAAATAAAGTATAGTATTTCTAATACAAGAATCGAATATTTCTTGTCTGTCTTAAAAATTTCTATGAATAGATTTCTAATGAAAATACACATTCAAGAAAATCAAATTCAATAAGCATTAGTAGTTGATTAGCAATATGGCGTGAAGATCGATCATTAACAATGCAGCAATAACACCTAGACAATATCACAACTTTAGAATTTGATTCAATAGTCAGATGACAATGCTTGGACTTATATGTCATAAAAAAATTGAGATTTCTAAAAAAAAAAACTTTGCCACTTCTGAATGATATGTTAAATATTTAGAAAAAAAAAAGAAAAGCATTTATCTTTTTTTATTTATAAATTCTATTTTATACATATTTGTCAGAAAATCATTGCATGACATACGTTATTACATACATGACTTTCATATAATTTCATTTACGTTTTTAATGTAACGGATGTTTGCATGACTAAATAGATGTCAATAACAATAGACAACTAATTATTAATAGATGTCAATTATGTTTAATAGTACAGGAAATGAAATTATGCTAAATATTTTATACATCAAGAAATTAGTAAGTTCATTATTATTCATATACGATACATCAATGGTAGAAAATCGTCTGTTTTTCTTCATACATATTTCTATTCTTTTTCTTATTATATTATCATCATGTACTGCATATGAAGTGTTTAGACATAAAACAGGTATAGAGAATTTTTTAATAAATATAGAATTAATTTTTTTTACATGCTCTCGTAGGCCTAGTACGTCCAATTAAGTATCATATATTAATTGATCCTAGTCGATATACAGATCGAGTAAGATTGAAGAATTTTTTTTTATTTTTATAAATTTTTATTTATTAAATAGACAAGAGAATATCATGATACATTGGCAAAATTACGATTTTGGCGTCGATATATTAATGAATTCGATGAAGATAATACTGGATCACAAGGTTATCTATTAAAATAATACTCTATTTGATAGAAGACTTTATTAATATATTGTTTTTGAATTTTACTTTATTAAGAATCAACAAATGAGTTAATGTATAAAATATCGATATCGTTATGCTTCTCATTCTTTGAAAGAACGTTTTTCAATCAATTTTGTTCTAAGCAGAGATAACAGACATATATATATATGAAAATATAGTTTTTATTGTAAAATTCATTTTCTCCGCAAAACAACAAAATTAATTCTAATATTTGAATATCAAAATTTGATGAGTTGTATAATGACATATGAGATTATATCTAGTTGAAATTATATTATTTACTGATTATAATCTATGAGTACCCATTAAAAAAAGATTAATCTAGAGATGATAAAACGGTTATCTCTTTATGAGAATATAGATTTCTATGATATTATTCGATTATATCAACCTTAATCTTTTTCTTTTTATAGAAATTCTTCGCAATTACAAATATTCAGAATACAACAAACGTTAACAACAATTATACATTTTCTCTCAAACAAAATCTTTATCTACATTCATTTATCATTTTTAAATATCTGTTGTTTTGTTGATGATTGTTGCAACATCAAAACTATATCTTCATCATAAAAAATATCATTTATACATCTATATATATATATATATAAATAAAACATAGTCAGAATAAAATAATGAAAAAGATATGAACTGAATCTGATATAACCATATTGTGAAAATAATTCATATTTGTCAATTTTAAGAAAAAAAAAACAAACACAATACAAATAGCAAACGAACGAAAAAAGGCCAACATGAGATGTATATTAAATCTATACTTATGATATTGGATACATTATCTGATAATGGACAACTCACGAAAAAAAAAAATCAAAGAAGCACAGCACACGCACACACACAAAATGTGTATAAAGAAAAATCGAGGCATCATATGTTGTATTTGCATAAAATAATATTTCATTATTGTCCGAAAACAAACAAAAGAAGCCATATCACAAAGGAAAATGAATAACAAACAATCATTATTTCATCATCGGATTGAAATCACAAGATGTCCAAATCAGGAGTATTACAACTCTCGTCTGAAGTTACGGAAAGTGGATCAGGAGAAGCCATTGGTGCGCGACCATCAAGTAATGATCGAAAATATCCTACAAAACAAAAACAAAAATATTATATATAAATTAAAATTCTAATCAAATACAAAAAAACAAAATAATTATAGAATATAGAACATCATTTCCATTTCTTCATTAATCTTTTTGATTACTAACAAAAAAATATGCATACGCAAAATAGATTGACTTTATACAACACACATTGTTATTTCTTAACGCATGAGTCTAACATCAACTGTAACAAAATGATAATGAGGAAAACTTCTATTATTTGACACAGATGTGTAGAAAAAATATGCATTATAAATAATTAAAGTAGTTTTTATGTGATAATAAAGCTCCTGACGCACATATGTGTTACCAGCCATTAAACGGTCAATCAACTACAAAATTGTATTGTTATCCTTGCTTAATCGCTTGAGTTCTGCATACATATGATTTGTATTTATATTTAAAAAAATGTATATTGACATAAAGTATCAGAGATATTCCAAGCAGGATTGTGATCTTTCCACAAATGTTGAAACATTTTTCGTTTATCTATAGTAGAGTTTCAATAGTTTATTGCTTTGTGTTTTTCGCTCACTGATTCTCAATAATCTTCGAATTGATCTCTTGAGCCATTGATTCTCTCACATCAATCCTATAATCTCGGAATATCTCCAGTGAAATATTAATCGTCAATAACTTGTTCGGAATTCGAAAATAGTATTTTGAAGGATATAAACATTTAGCAATAATAGCTTCTTTAACAGATGATATTTCGAACAATTATTTCAATATTGAAAAAGTATGAAAAGATAACGATTAATGATAGTGTTCTATTAACCATGATAATTGAGAAAGTAATGCTTTATCAGAGATTGATTTTACTCTCTTAATGGGATTTTGTAAACGTTGTGTTGAAAACTATATGATTATTTCTCTGAAAGAAAAAATTTGCATATAATACTGATTAATGACTCCTCATTTCGAGCTTATACTTGATATATTAGGATGATGACATATTGCCTATTGTTTCGAGTATGTTTTCAGGGATTAGCAGATTACAATTAAAACTCTATTTCTATTATGAAAAGTTTCATTTTTTAGATATTTCAGCATTTATTCTGCAAAGATCATTCATTTAACTTAACTCGAACTTCTAAAGAATAGTTTAAAAGCTAATCGAATTTGAAAGTGATATGATACAAGCTATGACTCAACTCTTTTAGAATTGATAAGACCTCTCCTTTAAAATCGATTTTAGATTAGGAACATTCAAACTACATGAAAATTGTGAAGAGCCTATGTAAAAAACTTTCAGCTCGATTTCATGAGATATTCATCAAACAAATAGTTAATTTGGCAACCTAAAAGTTTTTGTAGATCTTCACTCTATGTATTTTATTTTACTTTCATATCAAAGAACATATTAATCTGCAAGGCCTGGCAGAGTGCTTTTTTTTCCTAAAATTCTTACTTGTTTATTATCAATCTTAGCTTTAAGCAAAAGAGTAAAAATTTAAAAAGAAATAGCTCGATCAAATCCTACAGTCTGAACAAAAGAAAGCTAAAATATTTAGAATGAAGGTTTGTCAAATAAATAATTTTTCCTATTGTTTCATGCAATTCAAATAATATTAGATGTTCTTAATATAAAAATATCGGATAAGTAAAATATATCACATCCGAAAATTTCAGATCTGAGATTAACCTGACCGATAAGCCTTAATAGTGATACTTAAAAATATATTTTATATCTGTATCATCTTTTTTGTTTTTACTTGTCACCCCTAAGACAAATCCTCGTGGAGCACTGCATACCACTTACATAATATTCAGGTAACATCGACCAATAAAGCATGAAGAAGAATATAAATATATGCATAGTATATATATATATATATATATGAAGAAAATAGGGAAAAAAAATAGTTGATTACAAGATTGTCTCGAAAATCGTTATTTCACCTGTAGCTGATGTTGATGATATTGGTGTTGGACTTAATGTTGCTGAAGATGATGATGATAATATTTGTGGTGTTGTAAATTGTTGATTTATTGTTTGAATTGTCGGTGATTGAATTTTTTGTGAATTTGATTTAATAATATATGATGATGTATTTTGATTATGATGATTTGAACATGTTGTTTGATCAAATGCAATAACAGTAGCAGCTGTTGTACTACTTGAATCTGTATCTTGATTTGATGATGAACGTATAATTGTTGGTTTTATTTGAACAAATGATTGTGATTTTGATGTTAAAATTTCTTGTGATGAAAGTATATTATTATCATTTGTTGTTTCTTCAATTAAACTTGTTAATAAACTTGTATCAAATGAATTAGTTGGTTTTTCCATTAATGATATTGATGTTTGAAATTGTAGTGGAGATGATTCACGTGTTGGTTCACTACGTTGTTTAATCATTGTTATAGCACGTTTAAATTGTGCTGTTAATTTTTGTTTTGGATTTGATAATATAGATGATGATGATGATGGTGGTATTGATATTGTATCACATTGATCATTTTTCATTAAATCCGTTGTTTCTAATGGATTTTTATCACGTATTGATGTTGACATATCAAACATATTTTTATTAATTGTTTTTTCTAAATTCATTTTACCACGTTTTCGACCAACACGTGCAGCTATAGAATTAGAACAACAAAAATTTAAAATTTTTTTTTTTTTTTGTTTTTGATGAAAATTAAAAAAAAAACAAAATCATGCAGAAAGTATTCACAGCAAATATTCTCACATCTTATAGTTTCCTCTACTGGTTCAAATTTGCCTGTGTCTAAGATATTGTTTTTAAATAAATTTTTAAACATAAATGTAGATATATATATATATATATATACAAACCTGGATTTTTCTTCATTGATTGTACTTTAAATCCATTAGTACTTAAAATTTCCAATAATTCAAAACTAAAAATTATAATGAATTAATTGATTAAAAAAAAAAAGAAGTTTATTCATCGATTTTTTTTTGTATATACCGAAATGCTGAAATATCTTGTTTTATTTCATTTAAATCATCTTCTGTTACACCTTCAGTTTGATCTTTTTGTTGACGTTTCATTATATAACGTTTAACTAATTCACGTATGACAGTTTGATATTTTATTTCACGTTCATTGATTTTACTGAGTATTTTCTAGAATTTATAAAGAAAAAAAAAATTTTTTTTTTCCACAGTCATTTAGTTCCTGAGGGCAGAAATCACATTAAAGTTTAGAAAGAACATAATCATCGAATCATGTTACACTATGTGTAATTCCGGAGAACGTCACGGGTAGAGATGTGCGAGACAAATTATAGATCCGGACCGGAACTGCCGTGTTACAGGCTCCACCTTTCACATGTAATTTCTTTTGTGCTGTAATAATTCATATTCCTTTCTATGAGAAAAGTACTTTTGGTCAGCAATTCTTTTGAGTAGTGATTTTTCATTATTTCTTCTTAGATGCTTCTACAACGTTGAGTTCTTCTCCAAATCGACGACACCGTACACACTAATTGATCTAACTATCAGGGCCCATCAAAGAGTGTAGATGCTAGAGCCTGTCGGATCCGAGATCAACCCGATAGGTTCTAGTGAGTGTAGCAGTGTTGCTGATCTAGAGAAGTACGAAAAATATCGTTATATATATATATTGTTTTCTTTGTACATTATATTTTAGTTCTTATTCAAACCGATGATATCTTTAACCAATTGGTTTGATTGACAGTGGAGAACACTGTAGAGTAAGGATGAAGTTGTCGTTGGCCTAGAGCATTGCCTACACTTTATTGACTAATAATAATATGAAATGAATGCTGAAAAAAAAGTTCAAATCTATCTTTTTCTTTGTTCATGTAATATAATGTAACCTAATCGTCCGTTACTCTTTCACAAATAAAACAAATACAAGATTTTTTTTTAAATCTAATTCGAGATTATCTTACAAATATAATAACAAACATCGAAACTTAGATGTAAAGAGCTACTAGATTTTTTAATAATCTGCATATACTCTTTTCTTTCTACCTAGTTTACAAAGAAACTTGATCGAAGTGAGTATTGGTCAACAAAATCTTATATTTTCTTTCAGTTCATATCCAAAAGTTGACTTTCAAATTCAAATATTACATCAGAGACTAATTCATTCTAAAAGTATTACACTTCTTAAAATATGTAATATCCTGAAATATAAATATAAGAACAAATTTTTCAATATTGCTATTTTCGAATACAAGATGTTAGACAATCGGATACTTTTACAATGAAGTACTCCCATTGAGAATTTTATTAGTACAATGTTGAACCTCGAGAATCAATGTTGAAGAGGATCAAAACATTTTATTGAACGATTCAATAAAGAAACACTTATAAACACAAGATTTTTATTATGTTCTTGAATCTACCTAATAAAATATAAAACTCATCTCAAAAACAATTCATCATTAATATATTTCTTGTACAAATGTGTATTCTCATAATTCATATAGATCTTTCTAATAAATCAATGAATTGAATAAAACTTAACAAATATTATACCTTAATACTTTGCCATCGATTTCTTAAATGTGATTTTGAACAACCAAATATTCTACTATAAATATATACAAATCCATAACAAATTGATTTTGGACTTGGAACAATATTAAATGGTGGTGGTAAAGTACAACCATCTTCAAAATAACTTATCCAAAGTTTTGCACTAAAAAACTAAACATATTAAAATATAAAATTCTCTTTTTTTTTATTTACCGTGCAAATTTCCATTCAGTTTCAGTTGAATTCTAAATATAGCAATAAAAGAAAAAAACAATAAATATATCTTAAAAAATTAATACAAAACATACAGCTATATATTGATATGAATTACTCATCATAGCAATAAGCATATTAAGTAAAACAATAATCATTATTGATGAATAAACTCCATACATAAGTAAACCAATAAACATTGTAAATGTATGTTTTTTATATATTTGAAAAGTTTGTAAATCAATTAAACCAAATGTACCCCAAAACAATGTTTGCAAAGATTCAAATAGACTATTAAAAAGAAATTATATATATACATGTACATAGATATGAGTGAATTGCAACTTTTTGTGATATGATTGACATGAAAAATTGAAAATAGACCTAAACAATTGCTGAGTAGTATAGTATCCTACGGAACAATATAGAAGAAAACGAATGTTTCAAAGTTTTCGAAACGTATCGTACATTTTATATATCTTAATATACAATAGAAAAAAAGAAATAGATTGTTACTAGAGCAAAGGCAGTTGACCGTGCAAATCCGAAAAATATCAAAACGTGGTTCTATACGATATCTGTTATTTCTAAATCTTAGACTTCCCATAGAGAAAATCATAATGAATTTTAGTCACGTTCAATTATCTTGGTTTAGTTGGCAAGTTAAGAAATAATAAATCTGAACTCATTAGTGCCATATAAGGAAACTCTCAACTGTTAGTTATCATTTTTTTTCTCATTTCAAAATGATGATTAACTGTGAAAGAACAAGTGGCTGGTTTGAGTCGTGACTAATACTATGCAGTGAGTCGCTTTTCATTCAATGGAATTCGGAATGCGAAAAAAAGTTTGTCCCACATAATTCTATGCTTTTGTTAAGCGACAAAATTTTCCTAATACGTCAGTAAATATTCAGAGAACTACACATTGTATAATGTAATTTCTGCTTATTGATTTTATTCATTGAAAAGATTCGAGTCATTGTTTAGCTTTGTATGAAAGAACAGGAAATCAGAAAAAGGCTACAATGCATTCGAATTTGCTTGTCGTATCCTGTTTATTTAAATTGTATCCGAAAAAAAAGAAATAAATATTCTTGAATGAGTTTGATTGAAAATATCTATTGCAAAATCATTACTCTACATTTTCTAGTATAATGTAAATTTCTCCTGAATAATACTAGATCAAAAGTTGAAACTTTTATCAGTCACAAAAATTTTTGTTTTACATCTTCTATAAAAATTTGAGTTAAATCGAACATCAACATTGCAAAGTTATACAAATGTATCGAAGAAGAAATTATATTTTTCAAATCGAAATATTTCCTTTTCTTTGCATATGTTTGCAACAAAAAAAAACAAATGACGTGTATTTTTTGTAATATATCTCTCTCTCTCTCATAACTCAGTGGTAGTATGAGTTGAACACTTTTAGTTAAATATAATTAAAATCTCTAAAAAACAAAACTTTGCAATTCATTCATATCTCTAATCAATTAAATAATTTACTTTGAAAAATGTTTATGAATATCTTTTGCACAATATTCATCAAATCCTGCATCTAATTCACATTCACTTTTTTTCATTCGTGCATAATACCAAAATAATTGATTAAGACCACATGCAAATGCAAATGCAACAAGTAATATTAAAACACTAAATTTTAATATATCATGTACCATACGTCCTAATGATATTTGTAATGGTCCTAAATGTGGATTTATTGTAAATATATAAACAAGTTTTAATGAACTAAATATATTTGCTGCAGCAAATATTCCTTCAGATATTAATGTTGGATCCCATGCATTCCAATCACGTCGTCGAACATTATGACCTGTTGAAATACTAACGGGATCAGCTGTTAAATTAGGATGATTAGGTGTATGTACACCAGATGAATTATGAGAACCATGAACAGATATTGATTTATTTTGAAGATCACGTTCTTCTTGATTTACCTAAATAAGAATAAATTTCATCTATATAAACATAGAAGAGAAAAATAATCTAAAGAGTATTTAACAATTCCTATGGAATTAAAATATGAAACAGTTATTTGCATCTTCAAGAAGAGAATTACCGAGATATTTGTCACGATTCATGGAGGGATAGACGTCCAAATTTCTATATCTCTATCAGATATTATTCATATTGATTACAGACATAAAACCGATCGAACAATGAGAAAAACAATAATAAACAATCGGATGCCTAAAGGTAGTTTTTACTAGACACATCACTTTCTGATTTCGATATTTTTTTCCTTTCTACATTCCATCATTTTCGACATACATTCAACTTTTTTTGTCTTAAATCTTAAATATAAATAACTTATACTTACTTTAATATAAGCCATGACTCGCAGAACTATTGCAGCGACATAAAGACAATTTGTAACCCAATCTAACAAATTCCATGTATCCGCCTAGAGATTGAATAATATTTTATATATACATAAATAGATTTTTTTTTTTTTTGTTACCATATATTGATGTAATCCTTCTTGATAGAGTTGTTTTATTTCAGCCCAAATAAATCCGGCAACATAGAACATAATCTTCAATAATAATCACAAAAAAATAAAATTAATTAATATGATTATTTATTTCTTACAGCTATTTCAACTGGATTTGGTGGTGGACCACGTCTTTCATTTGTTTCTTCTTCAATACCTGATAATACTTTAGCAAAATCAATACGTAATGAAACAACAAAAAGTAAAACTAAGAAAAAAAAAAATTCATCAATTTAAACATAATTTATTTCAATAAAATACATACTAAGGAAGAAAATATATGAAACAGAATGACAAATAAATTTAATAAATGGTTGTCGCATAATACGACCAATACTACTACGTGGCATTAATAAGTAAGCAATTGATAATACTGGAAAAAGTAAACCAACTAATGTTGTTATTAATATTTTAATTACTGAATGACGACGTCGAAATCCAGGTAAACCTTCATACCAAAGTGAAGCAAGTAATTGTTGACAATGTGCATGTGAAACAAACTTAATTTAAATAAAAATTATAAAAAAAAAAAATTTTTGTTTTTTTTTTTTATTATTTTACTTTTTTTTGTTTATAACGTATAGCTAATTTTAATCTTGATAAATTCATTTTTTCTGGTGTTTCTGATAATACTGGTGGATTTTCTGAATCATAATTTAATATAATTTCTAATTCTTTTGATGAACGTGTTTCAGCTAATAAAGCAGCACTATATTCTTGACATTGTTGTGCTAATTGTTCATATTCTTGTTTAAATTCATTTTCAATACGTGATAAACGTTTTAATTCACGATTTAAATCAAATGCTGTCATTATTGGATCACGACTTGATAATGATATATAACATGGTGATGATAAAGCTTTATAGGCATTTATACGTGATCGTGAATGTCTTAAACTATCTTCTTTATTATATACAATACAATTTGCACAATCACAACGAACATCATGAGGTTCAGTGACTTTTTCTCCTAGAGAAAACAAAGAGTTTTATGAAGATTTAAATATTATTAGTCGATGGATAAAGTGTTTTCAAATATGAATTTAGAAATCTTTATCGCAGTTTTTGTTTTCGAGAATAGTGAAGTAATAGACTTCTCTATAAGTACCAAGAAATATTCAAGCTAGTTGTATTGTCGAATGGATACTTGTTTACAAAATTTTATATTGAACTAAACTGTAGATTTTGTCTAAGTAGAACTGAAAGCACTGTGACAGAAGCTTCTTTTTTTTTTCTTATACAAAATGCTCTTTAGCCAAAGAAATCGATTTTTCAAAAAATCAGGATTTAAGAGAAACGAAAATTTATGTGACCTGTAGAAAAACTCCAATAGTATATTTTGTAGAGTAGCTTCGACTCTACAAGCTAATATATTAATAAAGGTACTTTCGAGTTACAATAATGAAAGTGCCAAACACGTCCCTTTCAAACTATTGATCATCTCATTGGTTTCAAGAAAATTTCTATGTCTATATTTAAAAAGAGTACAAAATTCTGGTTATAACTCATAGCTTTTGATTCTTCGAAAACACTTTAAAAGTAGTCAAAAATAAACAAACATTTTGTCTTAAGACTTTCAATCGATCTGTTAGATGGGAATTAATTCAATTGGATTATCTCGAGAGTTAAGTATTTTGATTGATGATAAAGATGAAACCTATACATTAACTATGTCCCCTTCGGAAAAGAAAATATTGATAACATATAAGATGAACTGTTAGAATTCCTTAAGGTTAAATCTAATACAAAATTTCTGAACAGCCGAAAGCCATGTTTTTCATCGTCTGAAATTCTATTTGAATTACTAAGAATGATAGAGTAAATAATTCTCTACAAAATAAAACATCACCCAGGTGTCTATAACGTTTGTTGATCGAGATACATCAATCTTACGAGACACACAAAAGTCGTTTTTCAACTACTTCTTTCTGTACAAAACATCATTTGTGTAAGTTCTGTAAGATTGATATATTTCAGTCAACAAAAGTTATAGACACCTGGACGACGAGTCATTTTGTAGAGAATTGTTTTTCTCTATCATTCTGAGTGATTCAAACAGATTTATAAGAGATAAAAAAAAACTGGGCTTTCGCGTTTGTTTTTTAGAGATTCTATCTTTGAAAAACTAATCATTCTTTTCATAAGTCACTATTTGAATTCTTATACGACAGCCGAAAAAAAAATTGAAAATAAACCCAGTCGAATAATTTTAGAAGCGTAAGATGATGGGAAAAAGTTTAAGATTTATCTTAATCATTACAAAGAATCCAATTTGTGATTCAAATAGAGAAAAAATTCGTATAGAATTCGAAGAAGTTTCATTCTATTGTTAATAGCAGTCTGAACAAAATTATATTTGTGTATTCTATGTGGTGAAAACTTAAGGGAATTAGTTTTTTTGAATACCTCGCCTTTGGGAATCTGATAATCATTTTGTCATATATTTTTGTACTCAAAGGACTATTTGAATTCTTGGTAACAATTAACATGGGAAAATAAGTAAAAATAAACCTTGTGGAATGATTATCTACATATATTTAAAAAATTTAGTTCATTTTTAATTATCGTCTATTCATTGAAAACAAACAATGAATTTATTTAAAATTCAATTGAAACTTCTCTCGCCTGTATACAGTTTAATCACACGTAAAATTTTCAATACTTTCTTAATTATAAAATGATAGTTTTCGAATCTTAGTTTTTTTTTTGGAACATTCTTAGAAATGAATATACGATAAATGAACTGAAAACTTATTATTCAATATAACTTTTCTTTTTCTCTTCATAATTCAATTTAAAATAAAAACAAAAATCATTTGCCTACCTCTTTCCAGTAAAATTTTAAGTATTTCATAATTATCTCGATGTGCAGCTAATACAACAGGTGTAATATCAGGTGTATACAAACGAGATGTACTCAAATTAAGTTGTTCATTCACCTAAATATATGCATAACATTATTTTAATCGATCTATAGATATATATATAATCATATCTATTGTAGAATTATTGAAATACATACATACATACACACACATACATACAGATATTGTGCAGATAGATTTTTTTTTTTGCTTAAATATATAAGCCACATCGAAGTACTATATACTAATTACTATTTATTAAATATCTACTAGATGCCATTCATGATATTTTTTTTTTAAATTTTATACTAAGGTATGCTAGAGGTTTTTATTAATATGGACACGATCATTATTGTCGTGCTCAATTGAAATAATAAAAGAAAAAAAAAAAGAATCTAATTACTCAAACACATTCACATACGAACATATTCATTCACTCACGCACACCAAAGAAACTTGGTGAAAAAAAAATAATAAGGTTGGATTTTTTTTTGTGTGCGTATTCTCGTTTGTATAAAAATAAATTATTTTCTAATAATAATTTGACATATCTCAACGAAAAGAATTCAATCGTCATTCTATGCATTGCGTGAATATAAATAAAAAAGCGAACAACAAATCATAAAAAAAAAAAAAGAAAATAATAGGGTGTTATGAACAATGACTATGTGAATAGGTGTATGTGCGACAAAAAAAAATGAGCAGGTGCGTCTAAATGTACTGTCAGCAACAACGATCATCAAAATTTTTTTTTTTTTTTTCAAAAATGATTCTATTCATGCACGCCATGAGCGAAAAGAAGAAGAAGAAGACGAAAAATTAAATTCTCGCTTTTTATGCGGGCATAACGCCTACCGATTGCTGCTGCTCCTTTTTTCGTACTGCCTGTAGGAGAAATGACCATTTAGATTTCGAATTCTAAAAACAAAGAAGAAGTAGGAAAAGAAAAGAAGAGATAATGAAAAGAGAAAGATACGCTTTTAAGTATAACTATTCATAGCAATTGTTAAAAAATCAGATATATCATGATATATAACTGAATATGCGTGCTCAACAATACAGGGCTTTTTACATGCTTGCAGTGCTATTAATACTACAATAGATGAGTACATTTGTAAATAAATACAATAAGCACAAAATGTTGTATGATAAAAGATATGCATATAAATTGATTGATGGCTTTTCCAAGCAGAATACAACTGATATGAATCGGATAAAGTAGTATTGGCATTTACAAGGAATAGAGAAGGCGGGTTGTAATTGTTGATTGTAGTGTGTATTCGGTTTACACTGAATAATTTTACCCACCTCAAGGTCATCCGCAGTACTACCATTATGTGTCGAAGATAGATTTGACTTTGATGGACGAAAGTAAGACCAAGCCAATTTCAACTATACTCCCCATATACATATATACATATATATATTTATTTATTTAATATCATGCATTTTATTAACACACACACACAATGTAAGAAAAAGATTGAATAGATATGTACAAAAACTTTGCCTTACCTTTTGAGTAATATCATATTGTTGTTCTTTTTTTTCTTTTTCTAATGCATCTTGAGCCAAAGTGAATAATGGATTAGATTTATCATTTATGCCAATATTATTTGAATACTTAATTAAAAGAAAAAAAAGGGAAAAATATAAAATTAATGTTGCTATTAGAAATATGATTCTTTTTCTTGACTATTTCTGCATAATAATCTTTCTTATCAACATTAATTTGGTCCCGAAAGATATTTTTGTTTTCTATGTCCTGTCAATTGATGTTGCTAAGTATAGAAGAACTTTTCAATCGAACCGAATAAAATTTATTTATTATCAAGGATATGAAGCATAAAATTGTTTTTTTCAATTCCCTATAGTATAGAACTGAAACAATTTAATTTAATCATATATTATCATTGAATGTTTTTTTGATATTGTTTTACAGAAAAATCTATTAATCATGAGAATCAATAGTGTCTTTCCAAATAGGGTTTGTTTTTTTTATTTAATTTTAGCAAATTGATTATTGATAAAAAAATCTATCAATCTATGATATATTGCATTCATATTACATCTTTTCATCTTAATAGACAAGCACAACTGACTTACTCGATTGTTATCTGCATTAATGCTATTCTTTTGTTGTTGTTGTTTTAGATCTTCATGTTGAAGAAGTAATTCGACAGCTGTCAAGAGTATGATTATGCATTGATTATCTAATCAACTATAAACTAATAGTTATTTTACCCTCAACGAATTCTTCATCAATAGCATGTAACAAGGCTTCACCTGTATCAACATTATAACTAAGTAATAATTCAATCATTTCAATATTTTCATATTCAATTGCTAGATAAATAAAAATAAATAAGAACAAAAAAAAAGAAAAAATATATATATAAATATTTAAAATTTTCAATTATAAAAATTGAACCTATGGAAAGTGCACTTCGACCTAATGGATCAAGACAATTAATATTTATTGGCGTCATTGGCATGTCAACATCAAGTAAAGCTGCTGTTGTTCCTGATGATATAGCAAGATATCGACGAGTTGTAGCCATATCACCACCTATAAAACGAACATCACACTAATCGATCTATTTTTTTTTAATAACTATTCAAGAAATGAAAACAACAAATGTTATGCTATTTTTATATCAACTGTTGAGGCAGCTGATACTACATATCATTATTTAAGTCATATTTTACGACGAACCAAATTTTGTTGATCTCTTTTAATTTCCATGGCTCATGATCTTTCTCTTTTTTTTTTTTTTTGTTTGAAAACATTTTAAAGCATGCCTAAGATGCATAAATATATTAATTAAAAATAGAAAATTTAATTTTCTTTCTTTGTTTTTTTTTTCTTGTCTATGTTTGATTTTAATGATGTATGTCGGAGAGATATACTTGAGAATTCGTTAACAATACTCAAGTAGTATCATAGATTTGTTTGCTTACTAATCAATGACAATTTGAACTTACGTTCAACAGCAACAAGATATTTTTTTTCATCTTGTGTTAATTCTGGTTCTCGTCTTATTTGTGTCATTGTTTGTGTTGTAAATGAAGCTGAATTAGTAAAATCAGCAAATGATTCATTTGTTGAACGGCCTATTAACTTTTCGGCTTTACGATAATCTTTCATAAGACGTTGTATAGCGCGCGACATTTGGACGGTGTCAAATAGTAATAATAGTAATAATAATAATAATAATAATAATATTAATAACAATAGGAAAAAATAAGTAGCCACACCGGCACGAAGTTAACTATACAAACGTATACATATACACAGGTAGACTTTAATTATAATAAAATAAAAAAGTAAATTAATATTTTTAAAAAATTTGCTCTTTTTTTTGATGAGATTTCTTAAATTTATTTAATCTTGAATAGAATAATAAAGCATAAGGAAAAAAAACCAAACATAAATATAATAAACAAAAAGAATTTATTGAAATAATGTTAAATAGTACTGAAGCGAAAGAAGAAGTATTAGTCAAGATTGTCTTTGCACACACATAAACGAGGGAAAGCGCTACAAATAATGGTTACATTTGATTTATTTTCAGTCCTCGTCGTCTTATTATCATCAACGCGTGCAAACACAACTACGCGCATTGGAACGATGAGAGCAAGGCAACAGCTTTCTCTTTGCTTGCTCTCAATCCTACACATAAACACAAGCAGCGCGCATCTCGAGCGTCGTCATTCTAATGAAATTCTTTGTGCTTCGACACTGTTCTCTCTCTCTCTCTCTCCCTCTCTCTCTCTCTCTTGACTCGTTTCGGCAGCGTTCTTTCTTTCTGTCTTTCTGTTGCTTCCATAGACAGTGACACTAACTGTAAAGCAAGTGTTGCTGATATCATGCGCATGCTTCGACTATATGTTTGCTTCTATCTCTTTGATCGATCTCATCTCATCATCCAATGATGATGATAAGAAACGTAAATCTTTCATAAGATGTTTTATTCATCTCGTAATATAGCCCTAGGAGTGATTATGAGGTGTCTGAAAGTGAATGAAAAAAAATTGTTTTCAGAATATGAATATATATATAGACGATCAGAACTAGTCATTATTATCGTCGTTTGTGTTCCTATTCTATTGCAACCTTTATATTATTTAGTATGCTTACCTTTATTTGGCGTTACAAAGGTAATCATGATTGTTCGACATAAAAAAAAAAGATAAAGAAACAAAGAAAAAAAAAAGAGAAAAACGGAAATTTACATCATTTTCACGGTTTCTTCTAGAGAGAATGCTGTTAATGATGATAACGATGGATTTAATATGTCATCGATAACAAATGAAAATAGAATAAACAACATTGTCTAATAATATATAGAAAATAAAAAAATAAAAAAATAAAAAATTTAATAATAAACAATTCTATGGTTAATCATTGCTCACAATTTTCTCCTTCATTGATCATAATATTCTAAGACATATTAAATCTTTATTTCTCTTTATCTATCGGATTTTCTCTTTCTAGAATCAATTGAGATCGTAATAGAAAGAAAGAATATGCCAAGTAAATATCAACAGTTGTCCCCTGTATGAAACTAGAATAATAGGCATAGAATCATACAGAAAAGTGGCTAGATAAGCATTTATATGACGAAATGAAAATTAAATTACATAAGCTATTATCTATCTATGACCTTACCAATCCTATCTTCTACATTTACTCGTTGTTTGTTTCAGTAAAAGAACTTATGCCCTATTTCTTTTTGCTGGACAATATAACTTGTTTGTAGTTGCACAACAGATAAGCTAAAGTCAATCAGTCGCGTAGACAAGAAGATCGAATCTGCATCTCGTTATTAATTAGAGAGATAGAATAAGATAGAGAGGAAAATAGAGAGAGAGAGAAGGAGAAAGACATCATCAACGAATGAGCACTCGATCAATAAACTAAGCAATCTTTATTTGGTTTCTTTTTTTTTCTGTCTCTCTTCGTTCATTTCTATATTTCAACGATCAATACTCAACATGATAGACACAAGCAATCAATCCTTCTACCAAGACAATAAAAGTGTTAGTTAATACAAAAGAAAAAATCTTGAATAAAGAGATATAGAGAAAAATAAAATTGCATCTATTCTTATTTTGAGCAAATAATACCACATTATACTTCATAGAAAAACTCTTTCGAAGAATATAACTAAAATTTTTTTTGAAAATACAATATTACTATTGAATAGTCATTCTTCATCCTTAAATGTCTGACTGATGTGATAGTGTGTACTACAAATATTTCGTCATAGAACAAGAAAGATAAGACGAAAGAAGAATGTAAGCATAAGAAAACATTGTGAAGTAGTATATAGCTATGTCTAATTGGTGTATTTATTTTAATGTTTAAGAAATAATTCTGTGAAACAAATTTGATTGCGAACAATGATTTTTCATTGAATATTCATCATAATGAGGTCACATTTTTTTTTCTTTTTAATCGATAAACTTCAATAGAAAGAAAAATAAACGAAGACAAATGCTAATTAATGATGCCCTTTTTTTTTTTTGTTCTTTTCCGAAATTACCTTGACGAACTATCGAGCATAAACGTGTATATCGATTAATTAACATAGATACACAATGTGTGTATGTATAACATAGGCGAGATGAATAATAGTAACAAGAAGAATAAAAAACAAAAAAAAAAAAAAGAAACAGTTTTTTCGTATGTTTGTGACTCTGACGATTCTCATCTGTCTTCATTAGATTGTGGACATGGCACACCCGTAGGCTTTATGTATCGAATAAAAGAAGAAAAAAAAAGAGAGAGAGAACTTGACATTTCACTATTCTTCCTTCCGGTATTTTATAAACTAGTGACGAGACTACGATATTAAACTATTTGCCAAAGGGCTAAAAACAGAAAAGTGACAACTGTTCAGTAAAACAAAGGTCTTATTGCTTCATCAAGATGATTAATCATTGTTATCGTTAACAGAAGCAAGAACACAGTAGTAAAAGCAGAAATATCAATAAATCAATGCATCGTTGGATATCGATGTCAATATGAGGGGAAAAAAAAGCATCTAAGCGAAGTAAATGTCAATCGCGAAATATTATCAACTGAGCATAGAACTCTTATACATGCATAGAGACACACACACACATGTGTCATTGATCGTTTAAGATCTATCTGTATTTGATGAAAAGAAGAAAAAGAAGCATAGAACGATTGAGAGAAACTCGAATAAACAAACCAACAGTACTCGTTACATACACATCATTTCTTCTAATACGGCTGCTGCTGCTGCTGCTGATAGCGGAAATGAGGCGAGTAAAAAGACATTTGTCTTTCTACTGTCTGATATCTCTAATTTCTTTGCAAATGACTATCAGTAATATTGCAATGATTCTTGTTCTCAGCTATCATCTTAATATCATTCACGTTTTCGATTCGAATTTGTATATATATACATATATATATATATATATAAATATGTTTATTTGTTTATTTGTATGAAGACGAGATCTTATGTATAACTCGTTGAATTAATGACAAAGAACAGATGGAAACATCAACTGAAATCTAAGCAATCTTATATATTTGACAAGTCATGAAATGAATATAATTATGATTGTCCATGCAGTTCGATTAGCATCTATTTTGCATTCTCATGAATTTGTTAGTTGTCTACAAAAAATATCCTAATAAGAATTCTTTTCAGTCATGGATAAGAAAGATAAAAAAAACAATGATATTGAAAAACTAAAAGATTCATTGCAAATAAAACTTATTATATTTTTATTTTTGTTTATATCAAAGATAAAACGTTTATTATTTACACTTCAAATTACCTAAATCAACAATGACTAGAATATTGATTGACTAGGTCTTTTTACAGGAGGCACGTAGGCAAGGAAAATATTTTTTTTTGTTTATCGATTGGCATCATTTAGCTTTAGTTTAGTTGGCCATATCAATGTATTTATTATTGTTAATATTTAATGAATAAACTTTAATTTCAACTTAAGATGAACAATTTTATGTGTATTTTAAAGATAATATGAAGAATATTTAGTTAGTTTTAAATGAATTCTTAATAATTATTTCTTCTGATTTTATAAAAAAAAAAAAACAAATAAAGAAGATTTGATAATCTATAAAAACAAAAAAAAAAACTTTAAAATAAATATTATTCAATTTCTTTGGTAGACTATAAACATAAAGTAATTGAATGTTTTTCGTAAATATTATTTCATTTTCATATTTATTGATTAACTGGAACTATTTAGATCATAACTATTGTTCCTGAAAATGAAAATAATATATTTGCACTCGTCTGTTTTTCTTTCAATCAAATCTATAGCCGTATTTCTTCTATAAACTATATAATAAGTCAGCATATTTGTTCATT